GGTGTAAGAGTGTGAAATAATGTATCACAGGATGGTATTTGCCATGTTTATGATTGTAGCTATTGCCTGAATTCAGGCATGTATTAATGAGAATATATAGTGTATTAATATGGGGTTTGGCTACTATTGATACACCCTTTACTTTGGAACCTCTGCCAACTTATTGATTTGTATATGTGATCATTTACTGTAATCCTGTATTTTTAATTTTGAGTATATTGAAACACATATTGAGGGTGTTGTAATTTTATTTGAATATATATATATATATATATATATATATATATATATATAGTGTGTGTATATATGTGGTCTGTCCAGATATTATTCAGCTATTTTGAATATTCTGAGAACTGATTGTACAACCTTGCTGTAACATAGCAATTAATCAGAGAAGACTTTACTGTATATGCATGAATAAGCAGTCTTATGTAGTTACTCAGTTGGCAGTGAGATGCCAATGAGTGAACATTGAGTGATTATCACATTTACAGTGAATATGCTTAAAATGTAGACATTCATCTGTGAAAACTGTTTTGAATGATTAAAATAAGGCTTCAAGAATGATTCAATGAGTAAATCTAAGATAAAATATTGTTAATGACATTTCAAATGTGCTTGAATACTTATACTTGTTGAAGGCAATCCACATTCTAAAGGGTCTTCAATAGGCAGAAAATTTGAAAATATTGAATATATGTGGGCTGCAGCCAAAGGAAATCAGGGATTGAGAGTGCAAGAATTAAATCTGGGGATTCTGCAGACAGGAAAGTATGCAGTCATTTTTTAATATCTTGACTATCCATTTTTTTATAGTGATTTTTAGCTAAAAATTACGTCATCTCGGTCTGCCAATCCCACTACATTTTATCTCCCTGTGACTTCTGGCTAAAAATTCAAAGCTAAAATTGGTGTTGGAAAGGATATTTTAGAGCATGGATTCAAGTAGAATGCAAAGAGGTTGTGATTGCAATATTAAATAGAAAAAAGTCTGATTGAATATTGTCCTCATTTTTGTTGTTGTTATCATAAGGTTTTGATGTTGTGTTTTCTTGTTTTCATCAAGTATTTATCAATCCAGGTAACCTTCATGGAATTTTGAACTGAACTCTTTATTTACTCTCTAGAAGTAGATTATTCTCATTCTACTGCCCATGTCTAGGAGTATCTTTAATTGTTCTTATTTAGTACTGCTTGGTTATTGCTTGCCTTGTTTCCACTGAGTTAAGTCTACACTGCCAGGCACTAGTGGATTAAAGTGTTGGTTCATGAATTTGGTGACATAGTGTGTTTGTCTCATCTCGTTTTCACACATCCGCATGTTTAGAGCGTCTCTTGACTGAGGAAAACACTGGTGTTATATATCTCTCCCAGACACAAACCCACACTATTGGCTAATACCTGCCCAGTATCATTCATATGCAAATAGTCTGTGCCACCTACTCTAAGTAGAAGGTCTTCTCTCAACCATCCATTGTGGAAAGGGATGCAACTTCTGCTGCTTATAGCACTGCATACAACCAACTTGTAGTCTTTTATTAGGCCGACCCGATTCTCTGTTACACATAGTAATTATGAGTTCAATCGCATGATAAAATTAGTTATGTCTTATATACTTGGATCTAAGTTTCAACCAATGTTTGATATTAATAATTTGAAGAGGTGGCATCAAACCAATTAATAAATATCTTCAGTTTTCAAATAGATGTTAATGTTTATAATTCTTAGTAATATTTACATTTTCAAAATAAGGAAAGAAAATGAAGGATATAAAAAGTATAACTGGTCAGTTTTGTCCATTACTATTGCATAATTATCTATAGTTTTTTTAGAAGTTTTCATATATGGTATTGTATGTAGATATGTAAATGTGTGAAGAATTGGTAACAACATATGCGCATTTATCTGGTGCATTTATGTTGCATAGGTTTATTCTCATGTTTTATTGTGTGAATCATTTGAGTGTATTAATTCTTTCTTACTCAGTAGTTATGAATTGTTTTGGTAAGATTTCAGATTTGAAATCATTGTGTTCATTCTCGGTTACAGATATTTGATTTTTTCCCTTGGTAGTAATCAGATAGTTTACTGATGAACAGTAGATTTATAAGACAAAATTTCTATAATATATAGATTGATTTTTTCAGCATTTACTGTTTGCTTACATAGTAACAACAAATATTGATCCTGTTTTTGGTTATAAACACATTATGCCTTTATTATGTCTATTTACAGACATATCACTGATAGATTTTAAATACCATTATCTTTCAAATTTTCAAAGTTGAATTTAAATATTCATAAGTTCTGTAAATCAGTTAATGCTTAATATGGACTTGTCCCTTTGGGATGGGGATAGCGCAAGAATCAATGGAAGACCAGTAAAAATTTCTTAACAGTATTATCTTAATACTAGTCATATTTTCTATTTATTTTTCTTTGACTTTTGTATTTTCAACCAGTAGTTAACACTGGTCTACAATTTTTCACAAGTTAACTACTTCAGAAATGAAATATGCCAATTCTTATGTGTTTTGGCATGCCGAATACAAAAATGGCCTTCAAATTAAGTGATTGACTCTAGATTTAGAGATATTTAGTCAGTAATATCATACACATGAGTATAATGGATGTCTTGAAGAAAAACAATGTTGCTTTGCAAAATCTGTTTTGATGTTCTGTTCTATGTAGGTTACCATTGCAATACACAAACACATGAAGATGGCAATATATATGTTTACTGAATAAAATACAACTGGAAAACTCTCTTCAAGCACAGTTATTTAGCAGTCACATATTGCTTCTTAGTTTGTCTTTTGTAAACTGCAGAAAGATTATCTCACAATAAACAGACAGCATTGATGGACTCTACATGCTCTGATACCTTTTCTCAATTGCTGCAATGTCTTGATGAAATTGTTCACCATGCTCATCACTCACAGCACCACATTTTTTGGGGGAAAATTGAGATGTGAGCCTAAGAAGTGAATCTTCAACAACATGTTTCAGCCAAGATGTTTGTATGTCTTCAGGTGGTCTTCCACCTGTTTTCTGCTCTTTCATTACCCAGAAAGTGGGTTGCTACTGATGTGAAAGTTTTCCATGCAGTTTTTTTTTCTTTGTCAAAATTTTCAAGAAGTCTAGAGACCAAAAGATGCCTTCCTTTATCTTTGCTTCATTTATCTTGGGAAATTTATTCTGAACATACTTGAATGCTGCCTTTGTTTTGTCCATAGTCTTCACAAAATTTTCATAAGACCAAGTTTGATGTAAAGAGATGGCATCAAAATTTTCTTTGACTCCACTAGTAGTGGATGCTGAACATTTTTCCTCCCAAGTTCCAGTAAATGTTGTAGTGGCCAGTTTCTATTGATGTAATTAGAAATTCTGTTCTGGATGTCCCATTGATAAAGTAAGCAACAGTACTTGGTATATACACCTTGCAGTCTTATCAAGAGAGCAACCAGTTATATTCATCATAGTTGATACCTCAGTCGTTGTTTCATATTGTCATAAGTTTCTTTCATGTGGACTACATGACCAACTGAGTGAAGGTAGAAAATTACCATGGTGTAACAAGACAGCTTTTAGTCTTTGAGGAATCAATGAACAGCCTCCATTCCTCTGGATTATAACTGTTGTTAAGTGGTTGCATAAGACCACTGATATCATTGCAGTACACCAAATCACCTTCCCTAAGGAAGAATGGAACTAGATCCTTGTGATGATTAGGGAAATGGGAAACACTACCAACTAATATATTTTACTGCTCTAACTTGGAACCTAACAGTTCTGGTTTACTCTTAGGAAGTTCCAAATCTTTTACTTATGAGGTGTGGTTCAGAAATGGATGTTGGACAATAATTTTGGTCATATGAATTTGTTTGTTCAGGCTCTGAGGTTTCATTTTTTTCCCTGTCTGACTCAATTACTTATGATTCTAGTGCTTCTGGAACTAGTATGTCTTCTTTATAGGGGACAAGATGCAAAGTTGATGGGATATTTGGATATATTCTTTTTCTTTGACAGTCCCTTAGTAATTGCAGGCACCATGCAGAAGTAGCAATCTGTGGCATGATCAGTTGTCTCTCTCCAAATCATGGGTATTGTAAAAGGTATAGATTTTTTTTCTTCCTGATTGACTGAGATTTGTTGCTCACTTCTTGTCTTGATCTCCAATTTTGCATCCAAAATATAGTTGGTAAACCTTTCTCACAACAGGTGTTATATTTCGCTTTAGAGATGGGAATGTCACTTTGCCACATATAGCAGAAGTTATTGGCTTTGTTCAGACATTGATGGTGCATTTAACACTGTTAAATGTGTGAAAACCTGTGGAAATGAGAATAATTAGTTTATTAGGGGAATAATTATCTATAATAAGTTTATTAGGAGAATAATAATTAATCTGTCAAGGACAATTTTGATGAAATATTTATATAACCCTTGTACCCTATTTTGAAATCTAGAGCTAGTTAAGCTTTCATGTAGTAGATCAGTGCAATTAGAATGAATTGTATGTTAATAACAAACATTTTTATGAATATTTTTGTTCTAAATCAGAACAATGTTCTTTATTATTTTTATTGATTCTGATATTACATTGCCTATTTAATTGACAACCAAAATTTCCAATTTGTTTTTGTTACTCAGCATTATACATTTCTTATGAGTATCAGAAGACTTATGTAGATTTTGTATTTTACTGGTAAAATAAGAACATTTGCACATCCAATTTTTATGTTTCACCTTTCTTTCATGCTGCAAAATAGAGCACTATTAAAATAGAATGACCCACTTAGGGAAAATTCTTTTTTGGAAATAATTTTTGTAGATTAGCATTTTTTTAGATCTTCCTTAAGTTGTGACATTTGTCAGAATTGAAAAACAGTTTGTTTTTTTTCATTGAACAAAGTCTATTTAAGTAGTACAAAAAATAGATTTTCAATGTATTTTCTTTTTCAATGTTAGTTTTATCTTTCTTTTTATGTATTTTAAAGGGTCTGGAATACCAGAAATGAAAACTATTCTCAGAGGTGTAGTTTTAAAAGAATATCTCACTTTCCGGACATTGGTAGCTAAAATTGTTGGTTTATGTTCATCATTAGGAAGCACTCTTCCATTGGGCAAAGAGGTAAGTTAATTTTGTATGTGTTTAATATATTAAAGATTTAGGTAGACATTTACTAGAGATTTAGCACATTTTTATATTACCATGGCAATAACTACAATACAAATATTAACATCATTACCAAGGTTAAAAATAATGGAAGGAATTGTTTTAATATCTTATAGCAATAACAATGTGACGTTAGTTTTATAACAATTAGTAAGGATGATTACAAACAGTTAATTGAACTTAACTACCAAATTGTACAAGATGTAAGATTAATTATTTGCTTTCCAGAATATCTTCATTTTTCTCACTAGTGCATCTACTTTTCTTATTTCTTGTCTTTTTACATTGATAATGAGAAAGTTTTTCAAATCATTTCAAAGTCCATTAGAACTGATGTGACACTTTGTTACTGGTAAATAATAAGGAGGCTGAATGAATAGAACAACAAATATACTGATAGACTCCTGATAAATAATAAGAAGGGTTAATGTATCAACTGAACAACATACCAATAAAACCCCATGGGAAACATTGAAGATTTTATTTCTTAAAAAGACCAAGAACCAGATAGCTAGCAGAGAAAACAACATTCAACTACGACAGGTCATATGGCAAATATTTTGACACTTGATAGATGACACACAGCCTAAAAATACAGGCTGTGAAGGCAAGAGGAGAAAATCGAATAGGACTTAAAATCATAATTTGGAGATAAGAATTTTCTTAGAGAATGTCCCTGACAGGATCCCAAAGGTGTGGAAAGCTGTCTGGGTTGTGTTTCAGTTTTGGACAATGAAAAACATGGGGTTGACGTGGAAAAAATTTTCTGTATCGATAAAAAACTTGGAATTAATCTTCTCTTGTGTCCCTGAGGCTGTTGGCAACTATTGCTTCGAAGGTGGCCAAGGTGGCAGATGCAGATGAGACACCAAGGAAGGTGGAGGAGCTACCTACATCCACTGAGGAGTATTAGTGGGTGATGGTAATAAGAAAAGGTGGAAATAATGGGGCGGATTAATGCCTGCTGTGACCATTGCCCATGGAAGAAGGGAATTCTCCAAATTAGGAAGTAATTAATTCTCAGAACGCAGAGAATGAAGATTACAGGTAGAGGAGATACTGAATGCCCAGCCATATCCTTCACACCGGTTTGGATGAACGTCAAATACGAATGCCTTGAAGCAAGAAAGAAAAGATCATTCCAGCCACTAGACATGAGACACCTCATGTGATTATCTGCCGATGAGAACCTCCGACATAAGCCTTGTGTCAAACTTTACAAAGTTAACAAAGTGTCATGTCTGACTTAAGAAGCAGGTTGGATCGATAATTATCTGCATGCAAACTTCTAGACTTTAACAACAATTAACCAACTGTTGTATGAAGGACCTTATGTAAAAATAGTATTTATTTCTTTTTTATTTGAGTGTTACATTTTTTTTTCTTTGCGTTTTCAAAGTGATCACCCATTTGATCAGCAGTCGCTGTTGGACATCTTGGACAACCAGGGAGGGGCTTGAGGGTGACACATTACCATGAAAATATTTATAGTAAAGGCACAGAGATGCTCCATTGCAGCAATGAGAAATAACTAAAACTGAGATGTCAGGTCTGGGCAAATAACATTAAAGATTCTTCTTGGTATTTTATCAAGAATCTCTAAATATATAGAAGAAGTACCAAACCAATCCTTGGTAGACTTATAAATGTCTAACAGAGATTCTGTTAAGAAAAATTATTTAGTATGACACAGTGAGCCAACTTTCCTAGTGGCAGACCTAGCAACTGATTCAATATAATATACTTGTTATTTTTGTATCAGCATTAACAAATACTGCAAAAATTTCACGTCATGTACTTTTTTTTTTTCTTGTTAAGATTTAAGTGTTTTTCAATAATATATGAATTTGAATGTTGTGTGTCATAAATATCTATACAAATGAAATAAGCTTAGTTAAAATTTAAGTGTATAGCATGTGCCATTTCTAAAATATTACTATATTCTGGAGAGAAGAAATGGAAAAATTTACTCCTGCAAACAGTGACTATATATTATTTCTCATTATTCTTGACTATTTTTCTTAATCTGTTTTTTGCTTTTTATTTATAATTTTTTCTCTGATTTTCTGTTATTTGTTAAATTAAAATATAGAAATTTGTTTTCCTTGTATTATCATGGGATGCATGTGACCATGAATTTTCATATTTTAATTCAATGCTCAAAAATCAATTCAGTAAAAATAAACATTCAAACAACAAAATAAGTAAAAGAAAACAAATAGAAAATATATAATAAAGAAAATACTTTTTTGCATAATATCAAAGTACCTTAAGATTTTTGTTTCTCAGCAGTGTTATATTTAATGGAATTTTATTTTCTTAACATATATTAGTTATAGTTGAATTGTTTTCTCACATGTTATCAGAAAAACTGTATATTATCCTTGACATCAAAGAATAGAATATTAAGAAAATATGGTAAAATGGGGTGGAAGTAAAAGATATAAACAATCTTCCTTTAAAGAAATATACTCATCTGAAAATGTTATTTTGATAATCTTACTTTATATCAAGAAACAAAACAAATATAAAATAAAAAGCAATTACTCAGAGTAATTCATTTTAAGTTTAGTGGAGACTCTAGTAGAAATGATCTACTTTATTTATGAAATTTATTTTATTGATTATTCAATGTTTTTAATGTAAGAAAGTACAATGATTTTTTTTAATTGTTTTCTCTTCCCAACATTACAATCTTTTCATTTGAATTAATGATTTTTATTTTTAGGGGCCATTTGTACATATTGCCAGTATTGTTGCTACATTATTAGGCAAACTTATTGGATCCTTCCAAGGAATCTATGAGGTAAGATAATGATACATGTTGACTTATTTTATTGCAGTTCAATTGCTTTAATGATGGAGAGACTTTAATAATTTGAATGGCAAGAATATTGTGAGAGCCAGATTTTTAAAGGGATATACAGTCACTATGTCCCCATTGAAAGTGACCAAATATTATTGGTGTGAAAATTCATATAATCAGTATTACATCAATAAATTTGTTATTCAAGGGTTAAATTTAGGAGAAGGTATATCACACAAAGTTGTTAAAATATATATTGTTTAAAATAGAGTTGAACATGGCATAGTCTAATTAATATAAAAATAATCATTGCATAGTATTAGACAAATTAGCTTTATAGTATTTATTAATTGTTAAATTGTTAATAAATTATTAATTTGTACTTACAGTAAGTACAAATTCTTATGTATGAATACATTTTGTATATTTCTAAAATACACGTAATCTACAGTATTAAAAAAATTTCTTGGCTAAACCCATTTCCCATTGGCTAAACCCATTTCCCAAAATCTGACCAAATGACCATACATTAGAATTTTTCTTCTAATCCTTTTGTGGTTGGGCCCAGAACTTTTCATCATCTCTTCATATATATATATAATGTGTGTTTTTAATTTTGTCCATTTTAAGAGCAGATGGCACATTCTACTGACAAGGTTATTGCATTATATGACTACTAGTGTAGTCCACCAAACCATTTCCATTCAATGTGATGTACCTTTCTGTTTCTTCCTTTTCTTTTTCTTTGTTTATGCTTGGTATATAAATTACTTCAGAAAGTAAAATTAACAATATTATGTAAAAGAGGATGAAAGTCTTATAATTAATGAATGAATGAACTCTTGAAATCACATGTATGTTTTTTCTTGAAGTTCTAATTTTTAAATATTTGAAGTTTTAATAAATCTCTTGACTTTTTGTCAAAACGCAGAAAAATAATTCAAAAGTTTATCAACAGTTATATAAAAATGAACAATAATTGCAGTAACTCTTCCTGGTACAAATGTAACATTGTACTGCTTTGTGATATAACTAGTGTCCTGGGAAAAAAATTGTTAAATATTTAAAAACTGTCACTTGTGAACATGTGCTAATGACTCACTTGTGCATAACTGCACATGCACATCATCATAAACATTATCACAGATGCAAAATGAAAAAAAAACCTGGATATAACCTTTCTGTCTGTTGATATTACATTTAGAAATATATTAGTACACACATACTATGAGATATAAGAATGTCAAGATTAAAAGAAATAGCTAAACAATTTAATTAATATCTGGATAATGAGTATAAATTGTGGGGAAAATAGAAATGGCTTACCTCCCAAACGCCCTCGCATCTGTCTGGCCTGTGGGTTGAGAAAAGAAAGAAAGGGTCCAAGATGGCATCCGTGACTTTTTAATATTCACGGTCTCGTGCAGTCATGCAAAGTCGCGTTACACGCATGCTAATGAGTTGTGTCTGGGCTCCATAAAAGCAGGTCGCTTGGAGAAATTGGCAGAAGGGCATTACACCCGTGTTCGGTGTACATTGCTTTGTGTTGCATCATGTCAGACATTTTCCGACGGAAAGAGTTGCATCCCTTACACTGTTGAATTTGACTCCTTTGCTACAAGCTATTTCAGCCATTATTACAACATGGACAGATTCAACTTGAAGTTGATACAAGAGTTTGACGGCTCCCTCGAGTGGTGGGAAAAGGCCGAGCGGGTCTGCCGGCTGTGTAAAATTAAAGATCCCACACTGGTCATCCCTCTGAGGAGCTTGCGCTGTGTATCAGCAGCTCGGGGATGACGCAGACTTGGAGGAAATAAAACAAGCTCTATACGCAGCATTCGGTGTGGACCCCTTTGTCGCCTGGAGGCAGTTCACCGAACGGCGGCTTGGGCCAGATGAAACGGTAGATGTCTTTCTGGCTGATTTGAGGAAGCTGGCCACACCGTTCGGTGGAGCAAGCGACCAAATCCTAGGATGCGCCTTTCTGGCAGGACTCCCAGACAACGCCAGTCGACTGCTATGAGCATCGTCAAGGCTCAATGAGCTGAGGCTAGACGAGTTACTGGCCAGAGCCGGAATATTCTGAAGGACAATGCAGAGCCAGTCTCAGCAGCTGTGGAAGCACCTGAACGCCAACTGAAGACATAAGGTGCTATAAATGTATGGATTGAACCACTTCTCAAAAGACAGCCAAAGCGGTCACGAAGGATAATGCATACCGAGGAACACGGAGCGTATGCGTTGCTACAGGTGCGACAAGCTGGGCCACGTGCAAGAAGCGGGCAGGGGAGTAAGCTGCAGCGCCAGTCTTTCCCAGATCGCCGCTGAACAAAGGGCGCTACCCGCGGTAGCGTCGCGGATTAATGGCGTGGTAACCGCGCCTTAGACACCAGGTGCACCCAGACCAGCGCCAAGGTATGTTGTGACATCGTGGGGCGTAAAAAATATTCCAGTTCTGACTGTTGGCGGGGCTCGCTAGCCTCTTGTGGAGTGGCGTCATCGGCGCAAGCATCGGCGATAGGCCTGCAGTAGCCGTACAAGCCCTGGTCGTGGACGAAGGGCTGCTTTCGGCTATGATCTGCTCCTGGGAATGGGCGTCATCAAAAAATTGAGTGGTGTCCATGTTGCCCGAAGAGGGTCGGGCGTGTTTCACTGAAACAGGTCTTGCCCTAGGTGCAACAATGGAGCTGGAACGGCCTGACTTTTGTGCACAAAGTCCTGGATGGTATCCTGGAAATGGTTGGACGATCAACCGCCAGAGAAGCTGTACAACAGTGTGCTGGAGTATAAAATCCCCCGCGAGCTCGTGCGGAATACGACAAGGAGTTGCGAGCCTGGATTAATAACGGATGGTTGGTTCCTTATCCAGAGAAGGAATTGGGGCCCCCGAAGGGCCTGATCCCGCTAATGGCAGTTCTCCAGCACAACAAACAAAAAGGTGAGGCTGGTGCTCGACTATTGGGAACTGAACGAGCATGTGGACCCTTTTACAGCCTGCGTGGACGTGTGTACCGAGAAGCTAAGGGAATGGCGACAGGCGGGATCAAATGTATCTGTGCTGGATCTTCATGAGCATACCTTCAAGTGCGTGTGCACCAATCACTGTGGCCCTATCAAACTGGCCTTATCAAGGGAAAAAGGTATTGCCTGACCTGCATGGGGTTTGGACTCAATGTGGCGCCATCGATTATGCAGATGATTCTTGATGCCATTCTGATGAAGGATGGCGCATACAGTGAGCAACATCTGCATATATTGATTACGTGAACGAGGGGAGTCATATCTGCGGGCAGCGTGAAGGAACATCACTACAACTTTGGCCTCCTCAGCAAGGAACCGGGGATGGTGCCACGGGTGCTTGGTTTGCAGGTCTGGGGAGAGGATGGCGTTCTGTATTGGAAGCTTGGGAAACAAAGTCCCAGACATGCCCCCCCCATTGTCACGTGGGCGAAGCATATTTTCCTTGTGCGGCAAGTTAGTTGGGCACCTTCCTGTAGGTGGCTGGCTGCGTGTTGCGGTGGCGTTTATCAAGCGGAGAGCATCTGGCGTCACCACTGGATGGGATGACAAAGTTCACGGCGCCCCTCTCAACACCATGATGAGGGAGGTCCTCGCTAAATGCATAAGGAAGACCCAGCGGGGCAGATGGTGCATTGACAGCCAAGACCTCGGTGTGTGGGTTGATGCAAGCTCTCTTGCAACCGGCCTATCGATAGTTCACGATGGAGCTGTGGTGGAAGATGCTTGCTGGTTACGTCCAGAAAAGGACTCCCAGCACATAATCCTAGTGGAGCTTGATGCTGTCATCAAGGGGGTTCAACTTGGCAATCCTCTGGAAGTCGACCACCCTGCGTCTGTTCACTGATTCCGCTTGTGTTTATCTCGGATACCCTTACCGGGAGGGCCAGGGTGCGGACTAAAGCCACCAGCGAGATGCATATCCGGCGGCGGGTTGACACGGTCATGAAGCTAGTGCAAAATGCGCACTGACAATGGAGGTGTCCCTGGTCAAATCTAGCCTCAACAAGGCAGATTGTTTAACGAGGGTGCCCCAAAGGTGGCTTGACGCCACTAAGAAAGCTATTGAGTCCGTGCAACCCGCCTGCGCTGCGTCCGTGAGTCCCGTTCGATTTAATCGAATCAAAGAAGTCTACCAACAAAGTGGGCACCCTGGAGTCAAGCAGACACTGTATTTCGCCAAGTTGGTTGACCCAGGAGTACAAAAGACAGACGTCAGGAGAGTGGTCAGAAGCTGCGTGGTGTGCCAGTCTATAGACCCAGCACCCGTTCGCTGGAAGAAAGGGCAGCTGAGCGTGAGGAGCCACTGGAGCCGGCTGGCGATAGACGTTACTCACCACAACGGAGAAGATTTCCTGATACTCATTGATTGCGGTCCATCCAGGTTTGCGATATGGTGGCTGCTGCATCGGCAAGATGTAGCCACCATCATCTGTCAGTTAAACAGTATCTTCCTTGAACGTGGCCCCCCCCCCAACGGAGATATTAACCGACAATGGCACCACATTCACTAGTGAGCAGTTCAGGAGGTTTGTGGATGGCTGGGGAGTGCACCTACGGTTCCGGTGCGCCCATGTACTGAGTGGAAATGGGATCATCGAGCGAAACCACAGGACCGTCCAGAACATCGCAGCCAGGGCGGGCTGCGCGATGTCTGAGGCGGTCTACTTGGTAGCGTGACCCGAAGGATGATGTCTCACCCTCTATGGTGCCAGCCGACACATTGCATAGATACCCGTCAGAGTAAAGGGCATGAAGACCAACCCGCTGATGGAACTGAAAGTAACGGAGAGAGGCTGAAGAAAGGCGATGTCGTCTGGATTAAAAACCCGCGCAGCAAGTACATGACGAAATACGGAACCGGACGCGTCACTGAGGTGATCAGCCCACAGGCGGAGTGGGTCAACGGTGTGCCCCATCACGTTAAGGACCTGCGGCCGGCAACACAGTTGCAATCACTGCTGGACGACGAGAGCGAA